AGAAAGCAGCATAAAATGGTTATATTTATTAACACTTAGAATATTTTTTAAAGCTACAGGACCACTATAAAGTAAAAAGGTGCGATATTCTGTCCCTTTCTAGTACTCTAACTCGTTAATTCCTCTTGGTTTTCTATTAAACTCGACTGGGAAATAAATTTTATAGCTTGACAATTTTCCTGACAAGTAGTCAACGTGTTGCTTACTTTCCTTGTATGGAATTTGACCTTTACACCAAATATGAATCATTTTTTTAGTAATTCCAAGACAAATCTGATGAAGATAATCTAATGGAAATTGTGTAGTCATTCCAATCCCTAAATCTAACAATTTCGAGAACCCTTGGTGGTGCTCGGACTGGTCTCTATTTCTAAAACTTTCATCCGTCCTTAAGGGTGCATTTAACTCAGGAAAAGTTACCGTTCGCTCATAAATTCCTCTAGTTGTACATCGCTCGCAACCAAAAAAACCATTATGACTAATTATTCGTTTAACATAACTTCGTGCTGGTGCATCGGCAATTCTACCCAAGATTGGCCAAAATGATTTTTTTGAACTACGAGAAATAGGAAGGCCGTCAATACTCAAACTAATACTTATCGTATTGTTACGGATACATTGTAACTCTAACGATTTGGTAGTCAAACCTTTGAGTTTTCTATTAATACCAAAATGATAATATTGACCATTTGCAAAACTTTGAATTTGATAATCTACTGGTGTTTTAAGGAGCGTTTTCGAACTACTAGGGAGCCCTGCGTTAGGATTTGACTTCTTTAATATATGTAATAGTTGGTCTACAGCTACTGACGTAATGTTATTTTGTATAGCCCATTCTGCTAAAGAGGATTTTAAATTAAACTCAGGGACAAACTCGTCAAAATCACTAGAAGATAACGGATCATAACTTAAATAACCGTCTGAATATGAATCCACCAAACCATCAATGTCATCGAAACAATACGAATTATCAATACTTATTTCTAAATTACAGCTTGAATTATTATTATTACTAACATTTGATTCGTTTAGAAGAGTTTCCAACTCTTTCTGTAGCCTACGTCGTTTTGTTCTGGCTGAGGACATTGTTGAAATCCAGCGTACCTAATTTCTTGCTGCCCTGTTCTCTTTCGGCTTGTTTTGACTTGGTGCAAACCGGAAAAAATCTTGCGCTATTTGCTTTATTTCCTCATCATTCGTTGAACTTAGTATGATTGCGTACCGTCTCTGTAAAGTCACAACAAAAAATGCAATTTAATTTCTAAATTGCAGAAATTCAAATAATGTGTAAAAAAATGAACTTACCGAAAACTAATCTGTGAACTTGAGGAAAGTCCTTAAAAGCAAGCTTATTACTTCCTTTTCCAGAATAACTGACTTGACAGGCAAAAGATGGACTCAAAATACGACGGAGTATTTTCCGGACCACCTCTGTTATGGTTAATCTACCAATTAGAGCAAGATTTGATACCTAGAATAATTTTTAGTTAGTAAGATTTATAATGAATGCATTTTATAATTGGACCTTTTCTTCATAAAAAATGCTTACAAAAAGGGTTATTAAATACAAAGAATAGTAGTTTTCAGTGTTATGAAAATATTTGAAAATACGCTTACCGCTAGATCAAAATCTGTCTCAGTTTGAAGAAAGACTTCAAATCCTCTAATTTCGACAATTGAATCCAATGGAAAGGTTGGGGGGGTCGAGTAATCAATTGGATTTGAATTTTGGAAATTTGCCCCTGATCTGGTCAGCTGATCCAAAATATCGACTTGACTTCTTTGTATTTTTAGTAATTGCCGCAGCATAATCCCTTTGAAAACTGAATACAACATGAAAACGTACTTGTTATTAATTCAGTCGCGTTTTGTAACAAAACCCGAACTGTATGGTCCCTACCTACACTTTTGTATAGATTTTATAAAACTTTTCTAACCAGGTCAAAAATTTAGAGATCATTAGGGCGAGTCACAAAAACCAGTGGACACACTATATTCAGTAACCGATATGTTATGAAAAAGTTATCATCCAAGGTGCAAACTGAAAAGACAGTCAACTCGGCCAGGAAATCATTTTTTACAACATAAAAAATAAATAAATTTTTGCTTTTCCTAGTTATACAATGATTACCAAATAAATTCACCACCTTCCGGAAAATAGATATCGTAGCATCCGGAGTCCCAAGCTATTCGAAAAGTGAAGACGGATATTTCTAGTAACTACTTAACTTCAATCCATTTTGCAATCAAACCCGTAAAGCTATGTTTAACCGTTATGACAAAACCTACAAAGTATGTTGGAATAGAATAAAGTTATCTAAATAAGAATTATACAGTACTGAGCTTTATTAGCTCGCCCTGCGTAGCAGAGGAGCTATTGAATTCCTCCTGTCCGTCTGTCTGTCCGTCTGTCTGTCTGTCTGTCTGTTAACGAGTTTTTTGCATCAATTGATGCTAATTAATTTGCCCCATGTGCAAATTTTACCAAATTAGTAGCACCATTGGTCTCGAACAGTCGGCAACACAAAATGGTGCCAAACAATTGAGAACATAGATGCAAAACACACCAAACGTGAATAAGAACCGAAAAAAATAACTAGAATTTTTACTTCGAATTTGTCACGATTTTATGTCAAAATTATGGATGCATTTTCCTCGTTTATTTTCCACCATTGATGGAAAATTATATCACAATTATGTGTATCTTTTGTCCACCCTAATGCAAAATTATGCCAAAATTGCGTATCTATTTTATCTGCCAATTCTGCACCATTGGTGCAAAATTATGCTAAAATCATTATTACCGGGTGAGCTACTTCTAACGTTACAACGGTTTATTTTATTAAGTAGCGCAAGCTACTTTATGCGATCGGTTAGTTAGTCTGTCTGGCTGTCTGTCCGTCTGTCCGTCCGTCCGTCTGTCAACACTAAAATTCGAGAACGGTTTGTCGCAGCGACCTGAAAGTGTTAACACATGTTCTTCACGGCTATGGGGCGACACCCTATTAAGGGGGTGTGGCCACTTTGTCGACGTCATGTCGAAAAACGTCGCCATGGCCTAATTTCGGCATTTTTTGGGCGATTTGCATCAAATTTGGGCAAAACATGTTTATTGGTGTTGTCGACATGTAGCAATATGGCGACTAAGGTTTCGGCACTTTTTCGACATCCTTAGTCGCCAAGCCCTAATTTCGGCATTTTTCGGTCGATTGGCATGAAATTTGGGCAAAACATGTTTTTCGGTGTTGTCGACATGTCGCAATATGGCGATTAAGGTTTTGACGACGAATTTTGTCGGCATGCCCTAATTGCGGCATTTTGCGGTCAATATGCATGAAATTTAGGCAAAACATGTTTTTCTGTGTTATCGACATGTCGCAGTATAGAGCATGTGGTCAATTAAATTAAATTAATTAATTTAATTAATTTGAGCTTTATAGCGCAAATTAATTCTCAGCATTATTACTCTACATATGTGTCGTGATTTGCCGCACTTTATTGTATATTATATATTAGCACTTTATCCCTCCATCATTTTTAAATATTTTGTAGCATAATGTCAAGTTGAGTAAGCCCAAAAAATTCATTGGGGTAGCTTACTTTACATGATAACTCGTGACCTAGACGACGACATGTTTTTAATGTTAATAATCCAATAAGTTCAGCTAGCTACTCACCCGCCTTCATAAATGATGCCACAAACAAATCTTGTTTCACCGACTGGATAATCCCTTATATCGTCGACATATTCCAAATAACGTTGAGGAAGGATGACCTCGTTCTAGCCGAATTTTACGTGAGCGTCAGGACACATTATTGTGATCAACCTGGTTCGCAACTGGTTGGCAATGGCAGGGTCTAAGGGTACCATCATTGCGGGAGATGACATACTTAGCGAAAATATTGGGAGTTTTCTGTATAATTTGTTATTAGAATGCCAAATTGGACGAGTTGAACTGGCAGATGGAATGATGGTTAAATATTTTATGCGCCAATGTGCAAACCGATTGTGATATTGTAGTTCGTGGACTTTACAAGATTATCTTATCCTTATCATGGGATAGATTGGTAGTTTATGCGAACCTGGATTTGTGTTCAATAAAGGAATAGGCATTATTAACTGCGACGAAGTCATTCCTTTGTTTTTTTACATATACCATAATCAAATTTTAAGTAACTCGTTGTTGTGTTTAGACCTACAGAACTTATTGATGGCATCCTGCCTCTATTAACATTAAATATTCAATGACCATATCCGTGCCTTGTTTATAATATGCATATAAATCTAAGTTACCGTATTGCATAAAAAATTTGAGCTAATGTGATCGATTCTTCTTTCATAACTGGTATAAATTTAGCTACCATTTTACTTCTACCAGTTTTCAAAATTCTTAAGTCGCAAATTTGGAGAACATATCAGGAACTAGGAAAAGTAAAATTAGTATAATATTTTCCTGTGAACTGATAATGAATAGGATCTAGAATTCTCAGTAGTACCTCCTTCAAAACCAGAATGTTTGCTCCTAACTCAGAAAATTAAAGTACGTCGCCATTTTACCAACATTCAATCTAAAAAAATTAAGGGAAAATTATTTCACCAAACTACAAAAATTAGTAAGAAATGAAAGATTCTCAAGGTACTGATTAATTTTTGGTTTTTCAAACCTTAAATGAATTCCTTCAATTGAAGTCAAATATGTAACTAAATTGTTTTATGTAAGAATAGGATCCATGGTGTGGTAGGGGGAATCGGATCATAAATACTTCATTGTCTAGTCATAAATAAAATTACAAAAACCAGACGCTAATTATTATCCAGACAAAAACTCATCAACTTCGGTTCAAAACTTTTTAACTTAAGATGATTTGAAATTTGATAACATAACTGTTCCAGTTAGATATGGATAATGAATTACATAAAATTGTACGAAAAATTTGGGTCGCCTTTGGTAGAAGAAGTTGTGTAAGAAAAACTAAGCAGTAGGATTTACAGCCTGGCTAAAATTCATTGCTTCAAGAAAACTGGAAACTTCTAACGACAACTAAAAATTTCGTAATGGCGACAGATCTCACATGGTTTACGGTAAGTCTCAACTTCCGGTTGAACAGTTTCTTGTGGAAGATACCCCTCCAATGGGACCCCACCCGGAACCGCTTCGTCTTCAAGCCAGGCGGAATTCGAACCTTCTTCTGGTGGTACTTCGTTATGTGGATCGTGGTCGGTGTGATTTCCATGGGATCAGCCGTGTACGTCATCTATGGTCAAATGTACCAACCGAAACCATACATTAGCCTGGTTAGCCCGTTGCAGTTTGGAACATTACTTCCCGTGTGTGGATTTACTCTGGGAATGGGGATCATAGTGGGAATGGGTCAAGCGGAATATAATGCATTATTTCTCAACAGGATACTCCAGTTGTATGACGACATCTACCAACAAACCGCAAATATTGGGTGGAGACAGAAAAAGGGTGAATTACCTAACCTGTTCCTGCTCGAAGAACTTATTTTTGTATAACCTAAACTCAATTCTTAACAAGGTGGGAGATCGAGAATAAAAAACATATTTGGAATTGAGATGCCTAGTTTGGTTATGGAGGATGGCCGGTTGGATAAGTTTGGTAAGGTTGAAATTATTTCTACATTTCATAAATCCTATTCGACCTAGAGCGTTGGGTGGTGGATCACATTAAATTCAGCAAGTCAAGTCAACTTGTATTTTATATACAACCCGAATTACGTTGTCTCGTAACCCATCCCATCCATAGAAAATCTTTAGCTACAAAAGAATAATTGCTTGAAATTAACTTGAAAGAATAAATTAGCTACAATTAGTGATAATCATGGTAGTGACGTTAATTAATTATAAAACATAATAAATGTCTTCACCTATCCGTGAAAACCTTTCGTTGCAGGACTGACGCTCTTCGTCGCCCTCACACCCCTGCCATTCGCGGCCACTCTTCCAAGCCTTGTCATGGCCACGGGAATTGAAAGACGGGACGTCTACAAATTTGTTTTAGAAGACATTCTACCCTTCTCCGTCTCTGTGGATAGTTTTCCCATAATTCTGCTTCGAATTTTGCTGGTATACGTTCTATTTGCCGAGGTGTACAGGATGATAGCTTTCTTGATAGTCGTCATGGTGATACCAGCACGTTTGTATGCAAAAATTGTGGAGAACCTGATGGAATCAGGGTAAGGGACCGTCTTGCTTTTTACAAGATGATTAAACTTGTTCTGGGTTCACTACACTTATTTTCGCCACAATATAGAGGCTGCATATTTAGATGTCATACAGTTTCTTGCACATTTTTGCTATTCTTGCAGTGTAAGAAACGTAGTGACCTCACGAGAAGCGGGATATTGGTGTTTAGCCTCTTTCCTAATTGTCATTTTGTTAAAAGTCACCAATCCATCAAGTTAACCCAACAGTGAAGCTCTCATTCAATAATTCAGGTCTGTTGGTTCAGCGGCGGGAACACTCCCTCCACAAATACGCCGCTTTCACCAAATTCGAATCCTCAACCAAGAAATAGAAAAAAATCTAGCGACACGGATTTTCCTCTTGATGGCCATTGGACTAGTTATCTCTACCTGCCTCAACTTTTGTGCAATTCGGTTCGTCCATAGTTCCATGGCTTTGGGGATATACATCATGTTTCCGTTCGGTGCGTTCGTCGTGTTGAACTTGATCGTGACTCTGCTAGCCGTGGGAATCAGGATACACGAAAATTCTGTCGAAACCTTGTTTCAGTGGAAGAAGGGGATTAACTCATTCACAAGGGAGTCTGCACAGTGGAAAAAAACGCTTGGAGCAATGCAACCACTGAAATACTATGTTGGCTTGAATGGACACAATTTCTTCGATGTCAAGAAATCCCTTATGAGCACGTACATGGTGATAATCCTGGAACAAACGATAGACCTTCTGCTGGCACTTCCTAGTGTGAGGGTGCTCCAGGGTTGAACATAGTTTTATTTCAGGTAATGACGATATGATGGATGCTTGAAAGAATTATTTCTAACAGTTTTCTTAAAAATTATACATAATTAAATTCGTCCAATGCAATTTTTTTCTTTCAATGGTATACGTTTCACGAGAAATAAAAGTCGGTAGGAGTTACAACACAAAGCTGTTTATTGGTTGGCGACAAATGACAAATGCAAATACGAATTGGTAAAATTTTAGAACTGCGAAAATTAAAAAGTCAAAATTAATTTTGTCTGAATATATTTCTCACTGGTTGATAGTTATGGGAATTTGTGAACATTCTTTTATGAAATAGGTATGAAAAGAATATATTCTGTAAATATTGATAATAAAGTAAGACAAAATACAAAAGTTATTAAATTACACTGCGTCTTTGTATGTGGTAATAGGGAATTTAACGGCAATTGTAAAGAGCACGCAAGACACAAGTTAAATAGGATAACTTTGCGAACTTTAAAATGGAGCATAGACTACTGAGCGTTATTCACAATTGTGGAAACCAATTCTACCCTATTTTTGGGCGAAGAACACATCGATGAATATTTTTGGTCTTTTCTACGTGTTCCCCATCGTTTTCTGATAAGGAACGTAGTCGTCGTTTCCAAGAATCGAAAACTATAAAGAAGATTTCAGGGGTTACTTTCTTCCGGTCGAAGAAAAAACTTTGCAAAATCCTCAAATTTAATTTTGACACCTTTTTTAATTGGTTTTGAAAATGTTCCAAGTAAGACAAAATTACGAGCAATGCATCGATGGACTTCTCTGATATTCCTCTAGGAATAAATGATAATCCGAGTTTTTCTTGTAACGCTGCTGTATACCGGGCACTGCCCAGTGGGCAGTGATCCGAGCGATGTGAGAGGACGCGATGAAACACTTTGTGGGCCTCGCCGAGACATCATCTTGAATTTTTTTTCTCCAAAACTTGTGTTAAAACATTACACACACAATATATACCATTTATCTTTACATTATATGGAATTTTAATCAAATCAAGTGACCCACAACTGGTCATAACTCCGACGATCATTACCTTGTCCACAAACTTTTTTCTTTCTTCACACACAAAGAATATTAGTATGTTTCGAGAAGACCATGATCTTGGGTGGCTTGAAAAATAGCGAAGCCCAGGACCGATATCACTGATTTTTGTATATGCTATCATAACACTCTTTATGTACGACTTATGAAATAATCAAGACTGTGACAGACCGCAAACCAGAGGTATGAATATTTTTCGGGTGCAACTTTAACACGTTTTAAATGGAGCAACACTTCAATATTCCACTAACAAGGGACACTATTGACATGGGTGGAGAGTCCAGGGTACCCGCTATGTTTTTTAGAATCTACTAGGACCCTAGATGAAGGTTCCATTCGTATTTCCGTGTAAAGCTCATATTTGACGCCGTGGCGTGGCGCCAAACTTAAAAATTTGCGTTTTCAAACAATTTCAAACCTCAATCACTTTTGCAATTTCCGTGGGATTTTCAAAATTTTGGGCTTAAAATGATCACAAATGTAAAAATTAAAAAAAAATTCTGAAGCGAACGTCTCTCCAGCGTCGAGTCCAACATTTTGTGTGAGGGAAAGCGGTGAAAATCACTGGGTATAAATACCCATGTCAGTAGGGGAGGATTTCATAAAGGAATCGGAATTATGTCATCTTCTGGACATTTATTGCTACATATCTCCCTGTAAGTTGTCTGACAATCGCTAATTAAGAAAATACATACGTGATACATACGTGCCAATTAGCCAGGTTGTTGAGAACATACGTACTATTCGTTGTGAAAAGTAGGAGGAAGACGTCTATAAATTATTCTAGTAAAGTATTCAATTAAGTGACTCATAGCATATTGTTGACAAGTACTGATGACGATGCGGGGCGTGAAAATTAATTCCGAAAATCAATCTGACATGGCTAATTAATTAGGAATGCATGTATGCACTTCCCACACTAATAGCAACAGGTTTGGTTGGTTCCCATTTTAATTGGCTGATGGTATGATTAGACAAATAAATCGCAGAACGCGCTGCCACTACCACTGATTAAAAGTAATCACCGAACTGTCTTTGCATAATATAATTACTTCTTTTGTTTTGTAAGGGAATTTAATAGCTTAACCTGTACAAGATAGAGTAAATGCACTTGCACATATTGCATGTCTCATCTCTGCTGACATTTTTATACTAATTGATTTTTTTATTAATTAATTAAGAACTTTCAACCTCATCATTTCAACCCTTTCCGACAGTATATAAATGAGACTCTTGAAAGAGTTAAACCGCAGTACAGAAATGGAGACCTCCGGGAGCAAAGCTAAGAGATCTCGCCAACAAATTTAAGAAATAGATAAAGAAAATTCAGAAGGGAGTTTGTATTCGGCATCACAAAGCTTATTTGATTGGGGCAGTCATTCAGATTTTTTAAAGTTTTTTACCTCCACCCATGAATGTAAATACTATAGGGATTGGCCAACTTATATCTTGGCCAGTAGATTCACGAGAGACAGACTGTGCATCTGAATCCATCTAGCGTTCTAAAGGAGATTTTATTTTATTTCGACATAGGGGGTACCCGCAAAATACGTAACTCTGAAATGGTGAAAAATTTAACAATACTTGTATCGGTTTGATTTATTTTATAAATTGATTAATTGCGTTGTAATGTTTTTAAACTAATTTATAATAACATTATGAACATGTATGCATATTTGTGTCACGTTGTGGCTGGATGAGTCATCATCCAGCACCACGACGGGGCTGTCATAAACTTTTGCAGTTAGGCCTTTGTGTTGCATAACTTGGTGCCTGGACCCCCTATTTTTGATAATAGGCTTTGTTACAAATATATCACTTGTAGTCACCCCCACATAGGCTCCGGGTGACCATTACTGTAAGAATTGAGTACAGTATTGATTTTATGTGTACAAATATTGTGTTTGTCAGTTTTTTTTCAAATTATCGTTACAATTAATCTAAATACTGGCAAATACTACAATTTTGTTCATTTAAATTTAGCATTTGCTGAAATTATATTTTTGACAGAACTCATATTGTCACATAACATGATCCGTGCCTGGGTGCAAATCGCGTTACGGTTTACCTCCGGGAATATCAATGTTCAGATATTTTAATTCGTTCGATCGTTGTAATAATTATGAATTTATATACGAAAATTTATTTACTAAATTTTTAAATTTCCAAAAGCACCCGATCGACTTCAGTAATGGTTGGATTTTGGAAGAGGTTTGGTGAACGACGAAAACTGGGGGAACAGTGATGCCTCCACGGTATGTTCATTGCATTTCGAGGTGGTATCTCGTAGTGTTGGCAACCGAAGTCGTTTATTTCCTAACGCTTTTTCCACCTATTGTGTGCAATCGAGCCCTAACCCGGATTCTCAGAATATGGAACTCTCGGTCCAAACTCGTAAGATTAACGAACATCATTTTTACATGAAACTCTATTGATCTTGGGATTAACCTAAGGATTTTTTAACAGCTCCACACATTCGAGGAAGCGGATTTGTTTCTGACCACCTTATGGTTTGCTGCCCCAACTGTTATCATAAATTTGACAGTTGCCACAACGAAATAAAGAACCACTTGGCTAGCCCATCAACAACCCAAGCTTTTCAATCCAACGTGACCTACAGTACATAAATTTTAACACCCTGAAAGGCTAACAATGACACTCTGACGTCCCCACCAAGCACACCAAAATGACAAGTAAAACCAACGGTTGCCAGAGAATTATTTAGCTCCGCCGTCCCACGGCCAGCTAAGATTTACTCGAACCCAGAGTCCCAAGAAACCCTTACTATAAAGCTCGTGCAGTTTTTTAAGGATCAGGGTTTACTTTTATGGTAAACGAAAATTACGAAAAGTAATCGGGCACAAGCACCAAATCCTATAGAAGCACTATGTATTCGTACACCAGACACCAAATCGTGGCATGAGGCAACATCCCGCATAATCCCTCCCCATTCTGTCTCGCTCTCCTACCCATACAATTCCAATCCCTATAGTATTTACATTCATGCCTCCACCATGCAAGGCAGTAGTCAATCCAAAAAAGCTGCTCCAGAATACAAAACGGCAGACTTTTGGGTAAATGTGCCAGTATTTTCAAACATTCAAATGAAGCGATACTTTGACACTGAGGATAACATGCATTACGCGGTATTGCGCAAAGAAAATACTGGCAGGAAATGCGTAAAGGATTCCATCATTCGCGTCGGGGCATTTTGTTTCGCTGAAATTTCACTGAAGATGAAGCAATTAATCAGCGAAATAGAATCAACTCATTGGAGAAAAGAAATTGCCTCTCTGAAGGACAACCCATATGCAGCTGAGGAGGACATTCTCAGTGAGCATTTCTGGGACCCAAGCTTCACATACGCTTGTCAATCGGGTGGAATAAAATTTCGACCAATCCGACGAAATGGTCTCCTGCTAATCAAAATTTCAAGCGTGAGGGAAAGCTACGAAGGTTGGTCGGGCCCTGTCATTACTACATCTGTAGGTGGGCGTGGTAAAGACATGCTAAATAAATTCCTGTACCAGTGCCAGGTTCCATAGTAGTGAGAGCACGATGAACTCTCTGGTCCTGGTCTCTTTCTCCACAACCATCGGCCAGCTCGGTTATTTTTTTAACCCACACTACATGGAATGCATGTGGGTTAAAGAAATAACCGAGCTGGCCGATGGTGGTGGAGAAGAGCGGTTTGGAATGAACGTGGTGAATGCGTGTGGCATTCATTCCAAACCGCTCAGAGTGAGTTTAGTTTTTTATTTTTTGGCCCACAATGGGACACACCCACTCTTAAGAATGTACCCCATCTCCCCCACACAGGCGGGAGAGGGCGACACGCAGCGGTAAGAGAAACTAATTTCCCTCATCGCCACATCAATCCCTCCTCCCACTTATTTTATTTGATCATCTTCTGTCTCTCCAGGGAAGCGTAGACGACCAGTGTCGACCCGATCGCCGACCACCCCACGAAGAAAAAGAAGCCCGCCTCCACCTGATCGGGAACTCTCGATCGCCACCAACTCACCTCCAGCACCACCAAAATCTCCACCAGCCACCCAATCGCCATTCCTCTCTTATAACCACCCCGTCGCCAATTTTAGGATCCATGAAACCTCGGTCCCATCGTCCACTCACTCGGTGGGGCTGGCGGAGAACAAGGCGCAACAGGTTGAGATCGTTCAGGGTGACCTTAACGTCGCTGTGATGGACTATTGTGATACTAATGAAGGTGGTGAAGGAGGGAAC